CCCCCCCCCCCCCCCCCTCTCACAAACACACACACGCTCTCACTAGAAACATGTAAATAAATAAATGACTAATATTATATACTCCTACGGTGTCATTGCTTATTGCAAGTGGTATCTATCCCATAGAAACCTCGTTTCATGCATATGTTCTGAGCCTGGTATTGTCCTGTTAAGTAATGACTAATGATGATTTTCGAGTTAAAGAGGCCTGACCTTGAGCCATTCTTGGATGAACTAATTGAGATCAAACCTGAACATGTCCATCACAGATTTTCAGTCCATCTGAAAAAACTAGAATCATGGAATGTTTCTTTTCAACTTTAAACTCAAATGTGCTTGGTGGTTTTGTATAGACTCAAAATGTGTATTAAATGCATTGAGGATTCTACTCTAGACTTGTGAAAGCAATGCTCAGATTTGATTTTCCCATCGCTAATTATGTGAATTGATGTGAATAATTTTTGCTGTGTTTCAATGATGCACTGCAATTAGTCCTCCTTTCTTGAATTTCAAATTGCACTCTTATTTTCAGTACCGTGTCTCCAACATACACTACAATATATCAAGTGGTAGTCCCTTTCCCACACCAGACAGATCGGCTCCTATCTATATAACTGTTGGTGACGGAGGAAATCAGGAAGGTCTTGCTCAAAGGTAAAGCTTCTTCTAATTAGACAACCATCCATGATAGGGGGAGTACTTGTTTTTATTATAACAGAAATGTAATTCATCTGCAGATTTAAAGATCCTCAACCCGACTATTCTGCTTTTCGGGAAGCCAGTTACGGCCATTCTACGTTGGAGATAAAAAACAGAACACATGCAATCTACCATTGGAACCGGAATGACGATGGCAAAAGAGTACCAACAGATTCATTTGTGTTACACAATCAGTACTGGTAAGTATGTTTTCGAAACGCAGCTAAATTCTGAAACTTCTCGGACTCCTTATTTTTGCCAGCACGTTGCCTATTCCCTTAAATATAAATTAGTGAGACGGATTCAAAATTTTCTGTTTTCATCAGAATTATATATACGAGAAAGAAAATTGGAATAATTACTTTTCAACAATTTTCTGCCATCGACTGTTCACATCTTTTTCAGTTTGAATACAAAGCATGAAATATTTGGAAAACTGTAACTTTCCCGTTTTCGTTTTGTTATTCGAAAGTATATCTGAAAGAAAGTACAGGTCTGAAAAGCTACAGAATCTCGTCCCATAAACCGCCATGGGAAGTTTACTAGCATAGTATCCAATGTCGTGACTTTTTATGAAGAAATATTGAAACATGGGAAGTGTGGTGATGCAGGGGACACATTCGACGGAGAAGAAATTGAAGAAAAACCATCCGCACTCAGTCATCGTCAATTTTCCGCGAAGCGAGAGGTGAATTCTTATGCTTAGTAACGAGTCTGGCTCCGATTTGTGAGTACCGATGTATTCTTTGTGAAGCAGCAGAAGAGAAGGATAATAGTCGAAATGGGCAACAACGTGTAATAAACTTGGCTAATTATGATGTCTTAGTTGAAATGTGCAACGATGTTGTAATAATCTTGGTTCTTTATGATGTCTTTGACATTCAAGAACTGGTGAGAGGACAAGCTTTTGTGCGATGAAAAAAATTTGAATTTATGTATGAAATATTTTATTGTAAAAATGTGTGATTAAAAGTGAATTTAAGAAAAAGAGTTTTGTTTTAGTAATTGTCAAACAGAGACCGCTATCGAGTCTATTCAATTTCACCTATCCCTTTTTTTCTTATTAGTTGGGAAATTAGGACTTGGATGGGTCATCGCCACCAATGACGATCCAAGAATATATCTGAACTAGGATGAATCCCATTTGAGTTGAACGGACGCTCAACGGCCACCTAGTATATGAAAAAAAAATTCGACTGAGTCAGCAGCCATCATGGCTCATCTCTTGCTGATTCCGTCACTGATTGCCACTAAACCTGCTTCATCTCTTATTTCTTATGTTCATATTAATATTCTTAATGCCCGTTTGATATTCATTTTTTGTCAAAATACATTTTTGTCTCTCTTCTTTTCAATCACACATTCTTCAATAAAATAATATTATACGTAAATTAAAAACTTTTCTTTATTTTTCAACCACACATTTTCCATCAATTTACTATTTCAAAATACATTTTTACATAAAAATGACTCTCAAACACCCTTATAAATTTAAATTTATAATAAATAAATTGAAAGTATTACGAAAACTAATATTGAAATAGTATACCAAATAGTATTTAATTCTATCAAATGAGAAGGAAAAGAAGATGGAAAATAGGGGATACAGAAGCATCCAAGTGGCTCTAATTCTACCTCAAATCTTGCTTTAATTCTTTGCATACTCCCATTCATCACACACTGATGAATACCATGGCTAGTTCTTTAACAGTCTCCATGTACAAACTCGATTTATGGTTCCATAAAACAATCAAGAGAACATCTTCTTCAATCCCTTTTAACAATCAAACCCGCCATGTCCCTTTCCAATTCTTGATTTCTAACACAGCTTCAAGATTTAGTCTCCCAAACTGTAAATTTTCCATTTCTAATTCACTAGTGGATAACTGCTTAGTTCATGGCGATACCCATAAAAGCACACCCCCAATTGAAGTTAAAACCAGGTAGTATTCGTTTCTATAAATTTACTTTATGGTTTTTTACCCTTTCATTTTTTTATTTTTATTTTTTATTTTTTGCCAGGAATGATTACATTGGTAACTGAATTCAGTAAATTTTGATGTATGCATGCATTCATGTGAGAAGTATTCAGAATTTGAAATTGAGGAAGGTTCATTTATATTGTTTGTTGTGTGTGATTATCAGTTAGCCAGACATAATTTGAGAGTAAGCTGTGAATTATGTCAGAATTCAGATACTATGAATTAAAGATAACTAAACGCAGCAATGAAATTAATAACACAATTGCATTGCAGTTCTCTCTATAAATTACAAAATAATAATAATAATAATTTTATTTCTGGAGTTACGAGCACTATGAATTCAAACATCTATAAAAATTTCAAATCACATTATTAAGAGAGAGTAATTTTTTGAACTAAAAAAAATATATATATATATTGGAAAAGAAAAAGAAAAAGAAAAAGAAGTAACTTCTAAAATGCTCTGGAGCATGTTTGTCAAAAAAGTTACTCAAAAGTAACTTCAAAACTTAGACAAACATGTTGTGATGGGTATAACATTGAGATAGGATGCCACAAATAATTAGTTGCTAGGCGAGACTTGGTGGCAGGATAATGTCTATGAGTTCCTGAGGTGGTTACTGATGGCTTCAGCTCAAGTTTCAGGCATCAATTGCAAGATTATGGTTTTATATGGCATTGAATTGGTTTTCTCTTGTGTGATGCTTCGGTTGGTAACAGTTGTGGCCTTGTTGGCACCACACACCAGGCTTGTGGGTGATAATATGTCGTATACTCTAGTATTACTTGATGGTAAGTGGTGAGTCTTGAAATAATGTGTTCGTCCCCAAGTCGTTGGAGTTGTACTAGTCTCCTCAAAACTTCCAATTTGTTATTAACAGAGGTCTCTCCCATAAACTGTTGGTTGAACAACCTTTTCGCCTTTGACAGTGACCCGCCATTGATGCCAAAACTTTGATTCCACTTGACAATGAAGACATGGAGAAGAAGTAGGAGATGATACAAGCTCACACTCTCAAAGATCAAACTCGACTCCCAAAGGAATCCATCTGGATAAAAAAAGAAATAATATTTTAGTTAATATTATATAAAAGTGAACTTCCGTATGATTATGTGTTTCAACGACTTCCATATAGCTGAATTTTATCCTTGCATCCTTACGTTGAAAAAAATTAAAACGTCAAGTGCAAACCAGGTCATGCAGTGCAGAAAATCAAGGAGATGGTTCAGCCCTTGTGGGAATAAGCATATCTGAGAGTGGATTTTTCTGTCTCAATAAACTAATCGAGACTGAACTATGCATCTTTCAAATTGCCCCATCTCATTGGCTAGATTTAGTTTTCATCGAATGACTAACAAACATGAATTTCATAAATAGGTAGAGATGAGAGTTGAAATTCAGACTCTGCCTGCTCTGATATCATGTTGAACTATTTTATCTAGAATTTTAAACTGTTAGAGGGTGAACAAACTAGACATTTACATTTTTGTCCGGAGATTACACAGCTGTTTATAAGCAAGATATTTGTTTTCACAATTTTGATTTTAATGAATAGTATTTGGTGTTATCTTACTGGTTCATTTTATTGAGCTAAGTTATGAGCTTGAGATACTTGTTATTTTACATTGTCTACATATGTACGAATCAAATATTTATTGAAAGAATTTCAGAAATTCTAATTTCTAATTTGTAATACATATATTTCTGTCTTGTAGTACATGGAATTGGAGAGATTATTCTATTCGCTACCAGTATTCTGGGAGTAGTGGACCTGCCTTGCTTTTGGTTCATGGTTTTGGAGCAAACAGGTCTACACTGATATTTTTCTTCTCATCAACTATTTAATATAGGTACTACTTACAAAACTGCATAGCAGACTAGTGTTTTTTCATCTTCATTTGATTGTTGAAACATTGATTCTTTGCAATTTGTTGTATTTTGATGGACATTTGTATCTTCCGTGTTATGTCTCCAACAGTGACCACTGGCGGAAAAATATAGGAGTTCTCGCGGAGGGACACAGGGTTTACTCTATTGATCTCATTGGTTACGGTTATTCAGACAAACCAAATCCTCGTGAGCTTGGACTAAACTCCTTATATACATTTGAAACATGGGCCAGCCAATTGAATGACTTCTGCACTGACGTTGTCAAGGATCAAGCCTTCTTTATCTGCAACTCCATTGGCGGTGATCTTTGTTATAGCATTTCCATTCCATGAAATATGCAAATAATGGTTGTGTACTTCTAATGTGTGGATAATTGCCATTCAGCATATAATTTTAGAATTGTCGGAAAGAAAACAAGATTAAGTTGATTTTTCTTTTCTATTTTCATCTTTTATTTGTACTGGTGTTCTTTGTGCTTATTGGGCTGGAATATGGACATTTATATGCACAGCCACACACTTCCATTCTTATGAGTAAATTATCTTTAGAAGAAATCATTATTTCCTACAAAATTTTTTAATTTTAAAATGACATTCACCTACTGATTTTTGAAGATTATGCTTGTACAATATCTGCTTTTGTTATTAAGGCTTCAACATTTGTTATTCTGCTTTTAGTTTTTTTAAACACAGTCCAACGTTATTAAACATTTAATTTACCTTATTGGTTGTTCTGAAGCTCTTATATCTATTTCTCCATGTTTGATTATCATATATTGGGGACTGTTGATCGGGAACTGTAGCTCTAAGCCTAGATTTCTTATAATTCTGCATGGGTAATGCTACTTGGCCAGGGACACATTAATTCATTCTGCATTATGCAGCATATCTGAAATTCTCTTTGTTTTTGGCCCTACAACATTGAATCTTGAGACCCAATTTTTTCCACAACTGAGCTCAGTTCTTTCAATTAGTCCCCATTTGATTTCCATTCTTTAGCCACAAAAATAAAAAAAGAAGACATTATCCATCACATCAAGCCACCACATTTGACTTTCTACTCTTGTATGGGTCCGTAACGCTATATTTTTCATTCTCATTCTTACAAAAATGGGTACCAAATTGGGCCTAAGTTTTAGTGCTTTTACCTCATCTGGTGAATATAAGTTTGATTATTTACCTGGTATATATACTGAGTTAGCCAATTAACTAGAAGATCAGGAGCATAGGCCCATGCTTCCTAGGTAATTATCTTGTCATCTGAAAACCATTGATTGTACGATGCAAACAATCTTAAATGCTTGCTAAATGCAGGAGTTGTTGGTCTCCAGGCAGCAGTCATGAAGCCTGAAATTTGTAGGGGCATTTTTCTATTAAATATTTCACTTCGTATGCTGCACATAAAGAAGCAGCCCTGGTATGGGAGACCTCTTATTAAATCATTCCAGAGTTTGCTGAGGCGAGTTTGGTTCATTGGATTTTTTATGTTTTCGATATTCTATCCTGTCTTAAATTTTTTAGTCACTGTTCGAGGATTTCATTGTATTTGTACATTTCATCAGGAATACTGGTGTGGGAAAATTCTTCTATAAAGCTGTAGCCACACCAGACTCAGTGAGGAACATTCTTTGTCAGGTAAACATCTGTAAAGGAGGATCTACATTGCCATTTTTTGTATGCAGAATGTGGAGAAGTAGCTGATAATTTTTTACTGGATATTGATACAAACTTAAATATTGATTTGAAGTGACAAATATTTCCATTTGATCAGCATAATAAATAATTTAATGATATTTACAGAAGACATCTGAAGTAAGAGTTTTTTAAACCTGTAAAGAAGTTTCTGGCATTGAGTCGCTGTAATTATGTTCTAGGGGATAAAAAACAATTTCCATAGGAAGCCTCTAATAATTAATAGCATGATCGAAAAATGGTTTTAATTTTCATGAATTTTGGTCTAATTTATGCTGCTTGTACTGGTGTTCTTTGTGCTTATTGGGCTGGAATATGGACATTTATATGCACAGCCACACACTTCCATTCTTATGAGTAAATTATCTTTAGAAGAAATCATTATTTCCTACAAAATTTTTTAATTTTAAAATGACATTCACCTACTGATTTTTGAAGATTATGCTTGTACAATATCTGCTTTTGTTATTAAGGCTTCAACATTTGTTATTCTGCTTTTAGTTTTTTTAAACACAGTCCAACGTTATTAAACATTTAATTTACCTTACTGGTTGTTCTGAAGCTCTTATATCTATTTCTCCATGTTTGATTATCATTTATTGGGGACTGTTGATCTGGAACTGTAGCTCTAATCCTAGATTTCTTATAATTCTGCAAGGGTAATGCTACTTGGCCAGGGACACATTAATTCATTCTGCATTATGCAGCATATCTGAAATTCTCTTTGTTTTTGGCCCTACAACATTGAATCTTGAGACCCAATTTTTTCCACAACTGAGCTCAGTTCTTTCAATTAGTCCCCATTTGATTTCCATTCTTTAGCCACAAAAATAAAAAAAGAAGACATTATCCATCACATCAAGCCACCACATTTGACTTTCTATCTTTTGTGTGGGTCCCGTAACAACTATATTTTTCATTCTCGTTCTTACAAAAATGGGTACCAAACTTGGCCTAAGTTTTAGTGCTTTTACCTCATCTGGTGAATATAAGTTTGATTATTTACCTGGTATATATACTGAGTTAGCCAATTAACTAGAAGATCAGGAGCATAGGCCCATGCTTCCTAGGTAATTATCTTGTCATCTGAAAACCGTTGATTGTACGATGCAAACAATCTTAAATGCTTGCTAAATGCAGGAGTTGTTGGTCTCCAGGCAGCAGTCATGAAGCCTGAAATTTGTAGGGGCATTTTTCTATTAAATATTTCACTTCGTATGCTGCACATAAAGAAGCAGCCCTGGTATGGGAGACCTCTTATTAAATCATTCCAGAGCTTGCTGAGGCGAGTTTGGTTCATTGGATTTTTAATGTTTTCGATAATCTATCCTGTCTTAAATTTTTTAGTCACTATTTGAGGATTTCATTGTATTTGTACATTTCATCAGGAATACTGGTGTGGGAAAATTCTTCTATAAAGCTGTAGCCACACCAGACTCAGTGAGGAACATTCTTTGTCAGGTAAACATCTGTAAAGGAGGATCTACATTGCCATTTTTTGTATTCAGAATGTGGAGAAGTAGCTGATAATTTGTTACTGGATATTGATACAAACTTAACTATTGATTTGATGTGACAAATATTTCCATTTGATCAGCATAATAAATAATTTAATGATATTTACAGAAGACATCTGAAGTATGAGTTTTTTAAACCTGTAAAGAAGTTTCTGGCATTGAGTCGCTGTAATATGTTCAAGGGGATAAAAAAACAATTCAATAGTTCCATAGGAAGCCTCTAATAATTAATAGCAATATCGAAAAATGGTTTTAATTTTTTTCATGAATTTTGGTCTAATTTATGCTGCAAGTCCATGACAGCTGCATCAAGGTCTTTTTATTAGTATTCTTTTTTCCTGAGAATCACATGCCATATTACATTCTGACTGTTTCTGATGAACGTATTTCAGTGCTATAATGATACATCCCAGGTGACGGATGAATTGGTTGACATAATTCTTCGACCAGGACTTGAGCCTGGTGCTGCAGATGTATTTCTTGAGTTCATATGTTACTCAGGAGGGCCACTTCCCGAGGAACTACTCCCCCAAGTGAAGGTCATATTCTCAAACAGAACTTTGTTATGCGTTCGGTCATTTTTTTTGGTGCTTCTTTGCTCTTATGACTACAACAACATTTCTTAATGCATCACCTGTTTGCAGTGCCCTGTTTTGGTGGCATGGGGCGAAAAGGATCCATGGGAACCGATTGATCTCGGGAGAGCCTATGCTGAATTTGATTCTGTAGAGGATTTTGTAGTTCTGCCTAATGTTGGTCACTGTCCTCAGGTTTCTCTCTCTCTCACCATTTATTTGTGGTCAATCCTTTACACGTCTACCCAGAAAATTCATGTACATATCTCTTACGTTTGCTCTCACAATCCATGTGAACTAGAAATACTAATGTCCTCTTACTAAAATAAACATTACTTTCTATGAAGGACGAGGCACCTCATCTCGTAAATCCACTTGTTGCGTCCTTTGTGGCACGTCACGCAGCAAGAAGTGCTAGTCTATCCTCGGCAGCTTTCTGATTTGTGGTTATTGGAAGGTCGAATAGGTATCCCAGTGTCTTTTAACCACCTACTTCTTTGATGAGTCGAGGGCCAAAAAGACATATATCCAGGATAGTTAGGCATGTCAAAACGATATCATCCTCGTGGGTCTATTCAGTTAAAGATTCAAGAAGCACTAGGTTTCCCTATAAACATTTTCATTTGTATATCGTCCATTCTCTTCCCCTTTTCCTGTTAAATAATTTGTTAGTACTTTTCCTGAAAAAATTATGATAACGATTTCATATTCACATCCTTTCATGTAACAAAACGATATTATCGGCTTTGCATGTTTCTTAGAGAAAAGTGATATAGATATGAATTTATGATACAACGTGGATTGAGAAAATTAATGCGTGGAGGGTTTTTTTTTTTTTTTCACACTCCCAAAAAAAGAATAACGATATTCATAGTGAAGACTATCGATAATCGTCCTACGTAAAATATATATTTTGCTTTGTTATTTGATGCATCCCAAATGAATGTAGAGGCAAATGGCAAAAATGACGGATAATTTTTATTTATGTTGTAAAATAATGGATAACAACGATGGATGATGGCATATGGATAAGTATATTCATACCACAATTTTTACTTATTATGTCACATTTTAATTACACTTAAGATTTTCAATATTTTTAATGGCATTTATGTCCCTAACGATTTTTCATGATACTTTTATTTTCAAACTTTTCATTAGTTGACACATTTTGTATCTAATAATAGTTTTTGCCCAAAAAGTCCATTGAAATAGCGCATAACAACTTATTTTTTTATCATAATTTAATAAATAAATAAATAATGTGAAAAATATTTTTCTCTCATTTCAAAGCATAGAAATAAAATATTTTGACATAAATCTTCAAGAACGAGATGTATTAATTAATGAAAGGTTAAAGATAAAAATTCAATGAAAAATTAAGAAAATAATTACTATAACGAGTAAAAATTGAGGAGTTTAATTACAATTAAAATGTGTTGTAATAAATAAAAATTGTAGTGTCAATAAATATAACCACCTATAGCATATTTGGTACTCAATTCAAAAAAATGTATGGGAATGTTAATATATCTTTAACTTTTCAAAATAGCACTAAGCATCCCAACATTTGAGGAAATAGGCATAGTAGGTCCTTAATAGTAGAATCCGTCCATTTTAGCCGTTAAGATTATATAAAAAGACAGAATTGTCCTCCTTTGAATAAAAAAATTTTGAAAGGCAAAAAAAAAAAAAAGAAAAAGAAAAAAAAGATCCAAATGTACCAACAAAAATAAAGAACGGAGAACTAAGTATCCATTTGATTT